AAAACTTTATCAGTAAATTCATCCACTTGAATATTTTCAGTTACCTCTAAACATAATTTTTTTTCAAAATATTTCATTAGGAATTTTTTTTGATCGTTTTTGCTGAATGGCTTAAGTGTGCAAGAAAATATGCTCAGCTGATCTTCTAATTTTGATAAAATATTGTAAGAACGTGTGGTAATAAACATTTTTTTTATTTTAGAATCCTTAAAATTTTTAACCAATTTGGTTACGACATCGATGAAATTATTTGCCACTTCATCAAAACCATCGATTAACAAAACAATTTTTTGTTCATTGTAATGATTATCAAATATTTGTTTTTCCAATTTTTTTTGTTGATAATTTGTTCTTTCTTTAATGTCCTTTAGATGTAATTTTTTATCACCATGTGTCAGTTCCAAATAACCAATACATTCGTAAAGAAACGCTATAATATCTATTTTTTGTTTTTTAAACTTCCACTGACGAAATATACTTGAATATTCTAGCAAATCAATTCTAATTACCCATAACGTACTGTCATATTTTTTGATTTCCTGAGCTATTTTGGTCAACACTGTGGATTTACCCATGCCAGGCTCTGCACATATGATTATCACTTTATTATCAAAACAACTAAGTTCTTTAACAGAACATTCTATATTTTTGTCAATGTAACTAAAATCACGTAGTTTCTCTAAAGATCCATGTGATTTTTGCCATTCGTAATTTTGTCCTGTCATTTTAAGCAAATGTATGTTATGTTTGTGATATTTGTTACATAAAATTTCAAAATCTTCGATCAAATTAGAAATTATTAGTATATCTTTATTTTCATCAAGCTCACTCTGCATAACATTTTCGAAACTATTAACAACAACAAATAAGTCTTTATTTTTGATAATTTTTCTTTTAATTTTTATTTGATGAATAAATTTTCGCTCAATATAAAAATTTTCCATTTCTCCAAGATTTTCAACAGATTTGCCTAAATTAATTGGTTGGTCATTTATTAGTTCCTGTAATATTTGCCCAGCTACAAAACTTTTCAAATGTTCATTTGTTATCAATTTTCCCAAATTTATTTTTGAATCTTGGAATATTATCGTTTTTTTATTTAAAAAATTTTCTTGAGAAAAATCTGTAAGATTATTCAACCCGATTTTTTCATCTAAAACTTCGCAGTAATTATTATTGTTTATTGTATTTTTTAATTCATGGTAAACTTCACTTAATTCGTCTGAAATGAACACAATTTTCTTGCCTTCTAAATCTTGATTACTCAACATATCAAAAAATTTATCTAAATTTTGTTCTTCTTCTTTCATTTTCAGTTGAATTATTGTTAGATTATCAAATTTTATATATTTTTTTAATTCCTTAATATGACGATTTAATGACATGAAAGAATTCAACAACATGAAAATGTAGTTTCTTCTGGATTCATACTGCTGAATTAAAAATTGATATATCTTTAAAGATGTTAAATCTGTTTGTAATGTTAAAATAACAATAAAGTTATGTGGATTATCGGTCATTAGAAACTTTCTTAAATCTTTAATAATATTTTCATCTTCGTAATTTTTTTCATTTTTAAATACAATTCCCAAGTCTTCGGTAATATGTTCGTACTTCAAAGGTAATTGACCAGTAAGCTCAATTTTTTTCAAGTTTTGTTTAACTTCGTCAAATAAACTCTTCCCTGCTTCTTTTGAAATAAACTCTTCTCCCTTTCCATTCAACCATTCTAGCATATTATAAAAAAATTCAGTATAAACGTGCTCTTTGACTGCGAAATTAAATTCTTCCCCGATATCCTCTTCTATTATTTTTCCTAATTCTTCTTCGTTAGGTTGATTTACCGCGAAAACTAACTTACCAAAGAAATCTCTTATATCGTCTTTTGATGTATTACAATTAGGCCAAGTTGTTTTAATACGACCTTTATTTTCACCAAATGTTGAATCAAAATTTAAGCCGATCTCTTTATTATTAACTTTTAATTTATTCTTAATTATATCAATAATATTATGACCATTAATATTTTCAAGCTTTAGTTCTATCTTTAATTCATGTTTCAAAGCTTCCTCAAATTTATTTCTAAATTCCATAGCACCATCGGATATATTTATTCCTTCAACAAAATCTTTTTGAAAATTACATGATTTGATATCAATTACTTGATCTGCTAAGAGAGTGTGATAAATATAAAAACTTGACTCTTCAACTTTGTGATTAATTTTGGTTTTATTTGATACGGATTTTGCTAAATTTTGCGCTAAAGTTTTAAGTCGAACCGAATTGTAATCATCTAAATTTTGTTTTAGCAATGATATCGCTTTTTCATTAAAACGGTAACGCTTAGGTATGTCCAATTTCATTTTTTTAGTTTGTTGCCCGACGTAACAAAGAATGTCGTCAGTCTCCTTAATTTCGGTGATATAGTCTTTTTTCAGTTGTTCATCAAAATCAGCATTTGTGCATAAAATTAAATCTCTTATAGTACCATCGTTAAAAAGGTTTTCTTCCTTATATTCCTGATAAGAAATATAATACTTAACTAAATTGTAAATACCTTTTTTGTCTTTAAAAAGATCGTTGTATTTTATAATTTCTGATTCATTAGCTTTGTGTTTAGCTTGCAATAAACGGTACTCTACTTTGCCTCTTTCAGTTGTTCTAAAAACTAAATCATCAAATTTCTTAGCATTATCGGATTCTGTGGTTAATTTAAAAGAATATCCCTTTTGAAGTCCGCGATATAAAAACAGCATTAATAGTTTAAGTTGATATATTACACCATGTAAACCCAATGGCTTGTTCTTTCTTCTTGAATCTTCTATTTGCGTACGCCATGACACATTATTTTTTTTATTTCCAGATGGAACTTTGGAAGTAGATGGTTTAGAAAGGTCTAATTGAGGATTTTAATAATTTAGAACAAAATTTTAATGATTTTAATATTTAATACCAGTTGTTGATTGTAAACTTGATTCAAAATTGGTTTCATTTTTATCTAGAGCAAGTCTTTTTTCACTTTCTTTTAATTCTTCATCAAGATGCTTTCTTTTATGCGGTACAATTGCTTTTTGGTTATCAAACTCAAAGTTTTGGGTTTTGAAAGAGCTACATTGATTAGATTGAGTTTCCAAGGGCATTTCTTCAAAGGAGCTCTCTTTTGAAGTTCCAGGAAGTTTTCTTCGTTTAAATCTTTCGTTCATTGTAATCTGTAATAATTACCATGTTTAAATGTTAAAAAAAGGCCACGACAAATTTTGTAAACATGTAATTAAAATACTTACACAATGTAGGTACCTATTTATAATTAGATATACAATTAGTAGCTATGAGTAGGTGTGTACAAACATACTTCAATAGATTACTTATCGGTAAATACTTGCACAGCCCCTAGGTCCTTTAAAAATTATGTAGTCGATTCTCACTTGAGTTTTTGAAAAGTTTATACACATGCATAAATACCGTCAATTATAATATACTAGCATACCTACTTATCAATTACAGTTATACTTTGCTATGCTAAATAAAATAGTATAACTGTAAGTTATAAATTGTGATTCCCCGATTTATGTACTTAAAAAAGAATCGTAAATGATCAGTTGTATTACATTTAAAATATGCACAGTTTAATTATCTGTGTACTTAAATATGTACATATACATAAGTACATAGATACATATATGTACATATTATAAAAATATCAATACTTCATACACATTTACTCATAATATACTATACACACACAATACCAATTATAATATTGCGCATATCACGATGCACATACATATGTCTGTACTTATGTACATATGTATAATATGTATATCATATTTAAATAGATATTAAACATATGTTTGCATGTTTATAACTATATACATTAGAACACTTTTTACAATTAACAAATTAACGATATCATTTATTAAGATTAAACTTGAGATTAAATTATTTTTAATTAAAAAATAAAATTCAGAATTATTTTTAATTACAATTGCGCACACTTCTATAATGTTATGTTCTTCGAACTAAATAATTTGCATTACTAAATTTTGTATTGTTTTTGTGTACAGCCTAGCTATAGATAACAGCTGAACTACACTACAATCGATAATAAAAACTAGTAACGTAACGGTATGATCGTTTTTTATTCGCATGCAAAAAAATAAAGAAAAAAGTTGCCAGCGGTTAATTTTTGTTAACTAATATAAAATCTTTAAAAATGGCATATTATTGACATTTATAAATAATATTCAAAAGTAATTGTTCATGATTTAAGAAATTTCAATGTAAATAAATACGAACTGATCAACTCGCATCATAGGATCAACGAAAGATTTATAAAATAATGCTTTGAAAACTAGATTATATAATTAAAGGAATTATGAAGTTATAATTAAAAGTAAATTTAATAGCCCTTTATATTATTGCACTGATTAAATGCAGCTGTTAATTTGCGTGTTGAAGTTCAAATTTTGCGATTAAATCGGTTGGGGTCATTGTTGGAGTTTTTAGCACCATTGTGTTTTTTTAGCGTCATTTTTAACTCAGAGCACTTTCACCAAGTTTTTAACCCTTTCTTTCTATAGCTGTAAGATGTCATATCAAGCTAAAAACAGTACACTTAACATTATAATATTAAAAATCATGAATATAAACTATAATATTCACTATTATCGTGTCAACATTGGCGTTTCAAACAATTTATCAATTGATGATTACAATTTTTACTGATCCCAAGATAGCACTTTCTAATTTGTACACATTATAATACAAACACGTTATACTCGTAGATGGGTAAATTAACATAGTTTTAATTGAAAATAGCCACACACATAACGTACACCACTAATCAAAAGTACAATTTTGTTTTTCAAATTCAGCATATTGAATTATGGAGAACATTTTTTATTACATAACTTTTTTTATTAAACAGCTTGGTAATACTAAAAATTTATTGTCGATAACGATAATTTTGACAACTTGCAAGTGCCACTTGTCTTGTCACTAATAAAGTTTTTATTTTAATAACCTTATTTCAGCAATATAAATTATATTTAAAATGTAAACAACTAAATTGTTTTCATTTATAAAATTGAAAAATAGATTTAAGCCGGCTCTTATAATAAAATTGTATAATATATAAATATTGTGGGCAAGAGTGTATTAGTTATAAGTGAAATGGAAAACAATGTTGTACATAACTTGCGTGAATGGGCACCTTTAACAGTTCTGGAAAAAATTCCTACAAGCGTATTGCACGGTTTTTTTCCCAATGATTTGAACATTACTTGCATAGATGCAATTTCAGAATTTCTGGCACTAGGCACTGATGATGGTTTAATTTTTTGGTATAATCGAAATAATTCGGAATTTCAAAGATTGCGAATAGAAGTGAGTATGAATAACAATCTAAATAAATACATAAGTAGGTGCAGTGTACATAATATAGATAAGTTATTGCAGTATCAAAAAAATGTAATCGTATGAATATTACAAATTCTAATTTTATTATATTTTAGGTTTCCTCGCCTATTACATGCATAAAAATTGTATCTTCAGTTGAATATATGATAGCTTCTGGAACCCGAAACGATCAAGTCACAATTTTCCAAATACAAAAGGAAATTCCTCCAGACTTGAAATTGTCTGCTCCTATAGCTAGATCAAAACCTATTCAAAGATATACAGTTAAAGATTTACACAAAGCATCAATTACATGCTTGGAATGGTCAAAAAACGGGATGAAGTTGTTTTCAGCTGATAAAAGTGGCATTGTAGTTTTGACAGAATTTGATTACCAAAATGTAAATATGTACATTTATTTAAAATTTATATTTTTAAACTATGTGTTTAATTTATATTTTTAATCTGTTTATAAAAAATTTATACTTTATACATGTATATATATATGTATAAACATATATTTTTATTTATCACACAGAATGCCGCAAAATCTACTGAAATATTAAATGAACGATATAGCGTCATTCAACTGAGTTTATTTCAATCTTATTTATTAGTTTCCACTCTTCAAAGAGCTGTCGTGTGTGAGGTGGACAGATCAAAAAACAGTAGTGAATGGCGGATTTCACAAATTGGTAAAACGGATCGAAAAGCTTTAGGTGAATTTGGTGCTGCCTTTAAGGTCGAAGACTTGAAGCCTCCAAACATCATAGCTTGCCGTCCTGGGTTTCGATTTTGGTTAGCCAATTGCGAGGGAATCGTTGAAAAAACATTTATTTTTAAGGATGCCCCATTAATAAGACCTACATGGGAAATTCCGCTTTTGAATCCTAATCGAAAAAGCACAAATATTCGTTTGAAAAATTTTACACGAATTTATCCATATTTAAAAAAATTTTTTATTACCAATGACGACGTTTCTCTATATATTTTAAATTTAGAAGAATTGAAAATTGAAGCAATTGCAAGAAACTTTAGAAATATTGTAGATTATGCTATTTGTGGTAACGAAATATTTGTGCTTGAAGGTGGTAGAAGTTTAATTCGCCTAAGTAACAAACCAGAACCCCCAAATCACAAAGGTATTTTTAAAAAATTAAAATAAAAAATAATTTATAATCATCCTTATAATTTTAGCTACTATCATTTTTAACCCACTCCTTCCACCACCAATTCCTCATATGGGTATATTTGAAGCTCCAATTGAGTTCACCGAAGATGAAAATATAATAGGCGCAGAAGAATGTTTTGAACTACCACCAATGGAACCAATAAATTTAGACATTCAAATACAAACTCATATTAATTCACCTGATACTGAAACTAAAAAATTAGTAGAAGAAAATCACAAGAGAATTGAAATTTTACAAAAAATAGGCCAGGAAGCTTTTGAAAAAGAAATTCTTTTTCAGAGTGCAAAAAAGAATAAAATGATTTCAAATCAGAAAACGAAGAAAAGTAAATTAAATAACGCAGAAGGAATAATAGAAATTGGTTGTACAGCTATGGAAATATTTAAAAAAGAAGACCCTAATTTAGCTACCTTAATAAATAATTCTAAAAAAGAAGTTGTGGAATACGATGAGAAGCCAAAAGAAAATTTATGGTTTGACACAATGTAAGTTATTTGTTAAACATATCTGAAATATTATGTCATTAATTTTTCTGTAGGACACAAATAAACGATGATTATATAGAAAATTTAAAAAGTGAACAAACCGCAAATAGTATTGATGAAATTTCAGAACTAGCTTTAGAAAAGCCATTACTTCAAAGGGATGAGCCTAAATTACAGTTACCCCAGTGGCCACCACTAAATTATCCTATTTCAACATTAAATATGGATCCGACAGTTTCTTCTGATTGTTTAACAAATGAATCTGTAAGATTGGTAACTGAAAAAATTGAGTTATTAGAAAATGAACATGATAGTGATGAAACATCAGTAAATATAAATAATGAATTGTCCTTGATCCAGTCAGATAAAATTACTAGTACGCAAGACTTAAAGATTGATCAAAATGTTCAAATAACAAACCTAAACAATTTACCAGCACAATTAGGAGGAAGAGGTAACCTGGTAGAAATTAACAAAGATATGCTTGATGATTTGAAAATTCCCCCAATTTTTAATTCCCAAAATGAAAACTTCCAAAATCAGTTTGATACAGGAGGTTCAGATTCTAATGGATCGCATAGTGAATGGGAATTTGTTAATGATGGTAATAAGAATGTTGATTCTGGTGTTAAAAATATTAATAATTGAAAATTTTGTTCAATTATATACACATGTAGAAAAGTTTATGCTATTTAAACTCTATTAAAATATGCTAATTTTTTAGATTTTTTTTGTTTTTATAAAATATTTGAATTTCTCATAGAAAAGCTTCTGGTAATTTAAATAATAATTATTAAAAAATAAAAATATTTTTCGTTATAAGATTTGTAGATCACTAGAATGTTATGTATAATTAATACTATATATGCTAAATGGATTTTAGTATACTATTTAAAAGTATGATATTGATAAGTTAGGGCATTTAAAGCATTTTCTAATTGCGTATACATATTTCATTAACCATTTTTGATTTAAATTAAGTTTAAATTAATGTAAAGTATTGTCTATTACTTTTTGTTTCAATGTAATAAATCGAAATAATCTGATGTCAAATAAGTTATTAAATTTATTTATTTCAGATTTTTAAAATTCAATTAACAAACAGTTAAATGATACGCAACTTCCAAAAGAAAAAATATTGTAAGCTTTATAAATATGAAATTGTGTTTAACAAAGACTGTTTTTTTTTTTTTTTTACAAAAATTTCAATAAAACAGTCAAGTATTGTAAATTAAATGAATGTATTAATGTATAGAAAATTATTTAAAAAGTAAATATGTTTGATTGATTTATTTCAAATGCAAATATATTATTTAAAAAAATTATGAATTCTTTAATTCCTTAAAAATTAAAATGCGCCTTCTTATGATAAGTTCATATTAAATACCTCAAAGATATATTTAATTTATCTTCTTATTTTTGAAACTTTATTTTAAAATTGATGAGGTATGAGTAAAAGAATATTGATTTAATTTAGTTTTTAATTACATATTACATAGTTTCCTTTAAAATTGAAATTAAAAAATAATTATTTTATTGTAACAACACTTGCAAAAATAATATGCAGTATAATACATATTATATAAATAAAAAATTAATACTCGTAGGTTCTACAAACTTAAGAAAGTTTACAAATTAAAAAATTAAATAGAGATTTGAAAATTTGCATATAAACTACATTAATGGCGATTTTCAATAATTTAGTTTTGACGTAGGTCTTTCTTAATATAAAGCATGTTCGATAAATCCAAACTGAAAAATCTGCAAAAAATAACAAGTTCGAAAATTACAGTTCTGCAAATTAAAAGTTGAAATTTTTAGGTTTTTTCTTTTTATAACAATTGGTAAAAAATTTTCTATTAAAAAAAGAGCATATAATAGAAAAATCTTGCGTATTGAAGAATTGAGCATATTTTACAAATCTGTTAAAGTAAAATATTAAATTTCTGTAAATTTGTAATGAAAACCCTTAATTTAGAACTGTCAGTGCATGTCCCTATATTATCAAAACTCAGCAAATTTATCTGAACGACGATTTTTCAAATATTTTCATAATATTTTAAAATTTAAAGCAAACGGTTGTATGTACATATTTTTAAATAACATATACATATATCATTTAATATACATAGATACGTTTGTATGCGCTTTTTCTTCATGAATCTAATGCATTATTAATACCTCTAAGCCATTCATTAGATACCTTAATATTGTATGGTTATTGCTTTTTTTAAATGCATAAATAATTAGAGTTGAACTTTAAAATTGTATTTTTATTTCACCTATTTACTAATTATTGTCTATATATGTATGTATGGTCAACATTACTTTTCTCTCTGAATATAAGACCGGGTTCATTTATATACCTATTATATACTTACTACTTTCTTTTTCTTTATTCAGCAAAATAAATTCTGTATGAGAAGAATTTTTTTTTTTTAAAGAATCATTCATATTGAATTTCAACTACCGACAAAGCGGACGGAAAAATTTTCGAACGAATAGAAAATATTTTATTTATTAAATAAAAAGGAATACAGGATAATTTAGTTAAGTAATAAAAAACAAAAAAAAAAGTTTCTTAGAAAATTGCTTGTTTGTTATTAAGGTTAAATCGATAAATGTGCGTTGTAGACATTTGCAATTAAAAAAAATTATTTTTAAAGTAAATTAAAAAATAATTAAGAAAATTTTTTAAAACGTAAATCTGTAAGGTGTAAAAATAATTAGAAAGGATACAATGTCAGAATTATTACAAATTAATTCTTCAAATTTATTGAAAACTAATGATTATATAGAAGCAGATTATTGTTATCAAACTTCACAAGTACATCGGCTTTCAAATGGAAAATTAAAGGTAATTATACCATTTATTTGGATAATTTAATTTTGTTAATTAAAATCGTTTATCATAATTTAATTATGAATATATTGTACGTATGAGCTGTTTTTTAAATATCTACGTATTATTTTTCTTTCATACATTATTATATATATGTTAATTATATACATACATTAAATATTTAATTAAATTTAACTGAAAAATCAATAATTTTTAAAAATAGCTCGGAAATATTTAATTTGTTATATAAAATGTGTAAATGTATGTATGTAATTAATGGTAAAGGTAAACATACATATATTATTATAAAATATAATATATATTGTTATACATATTGTTTATACATATAGTTTATTATACATTTATACCTCTGTACTGTTACATTTTTACTCTGTTATACCAAATATGTATAACAGAGTTATTATTATTTCTCTGGACAGTCTGACCGTAACCAAATGCATTTTTCGTTATTATTCATTTTATGGAAAATTTTTGTATTAATTTTTATTCTTATACAAATTATTTGCTTATTATATTTTTTAAATATTTGAAATATATAACAAATATTCTTTGTTTTTAGTACAGATATGTATGTATATATATGTACATATTAGTGTAATTAAAGTAAAATTATCAATACCAAGGTTTACGGTAATTTTTTTTAGAAATCTTTTATTTTCCGTTCCGATTCTTTCCGTTTTAAGAAATTTACATACTTTTTTTTCAATTACAAAAATATATACATATTTATGTAGATATATTTTTATACAAAACATATGTATATAATCATTTACATACCCGTTTGCACGTATATAATATAAAAACACTTGTTCATTGTTATATGAATACCAGGTACATAAAAACGTACAATTAAAAAAAAAATATACATACCTATAAGTTTTCAGCATGCGTTTTAAAAAATTTCATAAATTTTTAAATTGCTGAATATGAAAAGGAATACTGTTTATACATAATATTCATATACATACATATTTCGGTGTTTATATACTATATAATAAATCTTAATCAGATGATTTTATATTTTGTTTTCTTGTCGATATAATATAATAAGTATAAGTATCAGTGCAGTATAATATATAATAAATAGTAAACAATGTATAACAAACAATGTATATAAATTTTAATATTACATACATATGCTAATTATAACCATAATACATATCGTTTATTAATAATGAAGTTCAAGATCAAGCTATTTTTTATCTATAACTATATAATAATATAAATACTATTACTATACATATATTAAGTTATACATGGATGATTTTTTCATTTGTGTTTGTTGAAAAATGCTTTACAATTTTGTTAAGGAATATGTAAAAAAATTTATGCATCTTAAGGTCTTGAATATGCAGTAAAATATAACAAAATTCAAGTCTAAAACTAATTTGATTTATTCAGCAATCAAAACTCTGTATTGTTAAACAAACCAAATTTCTGTTAAATATAAATTTTGGTAAGCATCCTGAATTTTAAATTATACTATTGTATATACAAAAATAATATTAAATTCTAAATGTAAATTTTATATTTTATTATTATATACAAGATAAATTGAGTAACTATTCAAAGAGTAGTTAACAGTTATAATGTTAGATATTTATAAAGAATTTTTTTTAAAAATAAAAATACTAAAATTAGTAATTTATATAAAAATATAAAATTTATTGATAAATCTACAACAATATAACAAATAAAATATAAATAATATACAATTAGGGCCTACTCGCTTATTCAATCAAATTATAATTGTATTGCAGAATAAAACAAATTGACGTTATTAAGATTTACATTTTGGGGTTGGATGTCCAACTACTTATTGTGACTTCAAAATTTCAATAAACATATATTGTTACCTGACTCTACATAATTAAGCAATAACGGCTTATAAATACTGTATTATGTGGGGTTTTGTATCAAAAATAATATAAAAATTTTATACAAATTCAATTTAATATTCAGCACCTATATACGAGTATGTAGCCTAATATAATCCTTAACTTAAATATTATATAAATAAGTACAACATTATTAAAAACAAATATTATTGCCCATATAATTAATAAAATAATAAAATTAAATAAAAAAGATTTATTGATAACAAAACAATTAAATAAAATGAAATTTTTTAATCAAAAATTTCTTCAGTAATTTTTGTATATTCATTTTGCATTTGATTATAACATTTATTAATTAATAAATTAATATTATCTTCAGTTTTAAATTCTATATTTGTTGGTATTTCTGGTAATATACTAATAATTGCTCGATTTCTTATTATCTTATTATTATTAGATTTTAAGAAACGATAATGTGAAAATACAATTGGTTGTATTGAACATTGACTTTTAATTGCTGTATGAAAAGCACCTTTTTTAAATTGTTGAATTTTTTCTTGTAATGTTCTTGTACCTTCTGGGAATATTAAAAGTTTATAATTTTTATCACGTATTTCAATAACTTCTTCATCTAATTTATTATATGCTTTATTATGTTTTTTACGATCAATAAATAATATTCCTGATAACCAAAACATTATACCCAAAAAAGGATAATACAATAATGATTTTTTTGCAACAATTCTTATTGGTCCCAAAATTGGATATACATATGCTAATAATAACATATCTAATGAACTTTGATGATTTATAATAACAACAGCACCCTGTTCCATTCTTATGATATTTTCTTTACCGCGAACATCAATTTTAAATCCTAAAAATTCACCAAATAATCTTATTACAAGAAATGGAATCCTACAATAATAACATAATATATGTATGTACATAATTAAAAATACCAATTACATACCATGACTACAGAATTGCAATAAAACTGTATTGCTAAACAATTCAGCAATTTAAATTGATAAGCTGAATTTTGTATTAATGCGGTATTACTGCAATTTTGAAGTTAACAATATTTCAAAATTTAATAATGTACTTACAATAAGTTTTTATAATTTTTTGGTCGAAATATCATAAATGGTGAAGTTACAAATGCAATAACAAAAAATAATAATTCAATTAAATTGACTTTAATTGAATTCGATATTCGATGTAAATTAATTTTAATTAGAAATAATATTAAAAATAAAAATATTAATATTAATTTTAAATAATATATAATATAATAAAAATAATCCATTATTATTAATTATATTATTAAAAAATCTAATTATATCAAAGTAAAATTTTTATTCTTAAAAAATTATCAGAACTATATTTTGTTTATGTTGTGTTAAACGTTTAAATGCATGGGAAATACTAATATTTATTTAAAAAAAAAATTAAGAAAATTATAAGAATACCATATACATATGTACAATTTGAGCATATGGGCATTAATATAGATTAAAATATTGTTTTATTATTGACAAAAATAATTATAATCAGAAATACTAGTATAGTTGTTGAGATATAAACAAAATATATTGTACAATATCTTATCGCTCTACATGCGATTAAAAATTTAAAAGATTTCTTGAATATAGAGAAAAAGAGAGAATTAAAATAAACAACTTTTATAATAAATATTTTGCTTATAATATTCTTGAAGAAATTTAAAACAATTTTAATGAAAATATGCTATATAGTACTTTTAATTTTAAATACCAAACATTCGGACCGGTACGCTTATGACTCTAATGTATACGCATTTCAAATTTGTATATAGAAAAAACAATGATTATACATACATATATAAAAGTAGGTACTCTCACTTTTCATATCAAATGCATGTAATACGAACAAAATTAAAAAAATAAACAGTAATTTTCAAACTTCTATTTAAGAAATTTAATCAAATAATTCTTAAAAAGTACAGTAGTCCTCTCTCCTACGTTCACTTATTCAGTATTATTTCACTTATTATAATTCTCTTCTTTCGATATTATTTTCTCACCGTATTTCTTTCCAAATAAAATTTTAAAAAATTTGTTCATTTTAATTTTTTCCCCTGGAATGTAATTTCGCTCATCGTAAAAAATTTTCAGTGCACAAAATTACGTTATAGGAGGAATTACTGTAAAATTATAAGCAGTACTATTGCAAATCTGACATAATTAACACTGCATAAATGACAATGTCAAAAACTATTATGTTTGCGTATGAGTAGGCAAACCGGAAAAAAAACCTAAAAAATATTTTTTTTGAATCACACACAAAATAAGTAAAATGTTATTTTATTAAAGGATTCGAAATATAAAAATGTTTCCGAAAAACCACAAGATACTTATTTGGCAGCCTAATATATTTTTCCAAAATATGCCTGTCCAAAAAATAGAGACTGTTTTACTGTACTCGTAAAAACTAATTGCTCTAATTTACTTTAATTTTAAAATTAAAGTAAATTAATAAAACCAAAAAAGTAAATCAAAAAAATACAATCACATTAATTTGCTTCTTAATTTCAGGTTGAGCCAAACAATATTAATCTTAAAATTCGTACTAATACAAAACTTCCCAAATTGGGAGTTATGTTAGTTGGATGGGGCGGTAATAATGGATCTACTCTAACAGCTGCTTTAGAAGCAAATCGTAGAAAATTGGAATGGTCAACTAGAACTGGTGTTCAAAAATCTAATTGGTATGGATCCATAACACAATCATCAACTGTATTTTTAGGAAGTGATGAAAATGGTAAAGATGTTTATATTCCCATGAATCAACTAGTTCCTATGATATCTCCAGATAATATAAGTAAGATAAAAAAAAATATTTACATACATAATTACGTTTTTATATGCGCCTAAAATATATTTATAAATTTGTTTTAATAGTTATCGATGGCTGGGATATAAGTTCTTTAAATATTGCTGAAGCAATGAAACGTGCTCAAGTTTTAGATATTAATTTACAAGATCAAGTTTATAAAGATTTGGAAAAATTTCAACCACGTCCATCTATATACGATCCAGATTTTATTGCTGCAAATCAATCTGATCGTGCAGACAATATAATTGGTGGAACAAAATTTGAGCAATTTGAAAAAATTCGATCTGATATTAGAGATTTTAAAAATTCAAGTGGTGTTGATAAAGTAATTATATTATGGACAGCAAATACTGAAAGATTTTGTGATATAAGAAATGGGTTAAATACAACATCTGAAGAATTATTTAAATCTTTAAAAAGTAATGATCCAGAAATTTCTCCTTCGACCATGTTTGCAATGGCTGCAATTGCCGAAAAGGTGATGTTTTTATTATATTAGTTTTCATGAAATATAAAAAAATGCTAAAAGAACAATTAAAATTTAATAAAAAATTTTTGTTATATACAGTGTACCTACATAAATGGTTCACCTCAAAATACTTTTGTTCCCGGAGTCATTGAATACGCTGAAAAATCTGGAGTTCATATTGCTGGTGATGATTTCAAATCAGGTCAAACTAAATTAAAATCAGTTCTAGTTGATTTCCTTGTTGGAGCAGGCATTAAACCAGTATCGATTGTTAGTTATAATCATTTGGGTAATAATGATGGAAAAAATTTATCAGCACCACAAACTTTTAGATCAAAAGAAGTAAATATAAAAAAATATGTCTATTAATTATAATAAATTTAATTTACTTACATATTTACTATACAATTTTAGATCTCTAAAAGTAATGTTGTTGATGATATGGTCAAATCAAATAATATTCTTTATAATAAAAATGAGCATCCAGATCATGTTGTTGTTATTAAATATGTTCCTTATGTTGGTGATAGCAAACGTGCTATGGATGAATATACAAGTCAAATTATGATGGGTGGACATAATACATTAGTTATTCATAATACATGTGAAGATTCGCTTTTAGCGGTTCCCTTAATTCTTGATTTATTAATATTGGGTGAACTTTGTTCAAGAATTTCAATTAAACGTAAACCAAATAATTATAATCATGATATTATCAAAGATGAAAATGAAGAATGGAAATCATTTGAATCAGTATTGTCATTATTAAGTTATATGTGTAAAGCACCTTTAGTTCCAAATGGTGCTCAAATTGTAAATTCATTATTTCGCCAGCGAGCTGCAATTGAAAATATTTTAAGAGCATGTATTGGTTTACCACCAAATTCACATATGCAACTAGAACAAAGGGTATAAATTTGAATTTGTTTCTTGTTATAAGAAAAAAGAAATTTAAATTATATTTTTTTTTAGTTTCCATCCGGAATATTTATTGATAATTATGATCATGATGATGATGAAAAAGAGCAACCACCTAAGAAGAGGCAGAAGCATGTTAATGGTTGTAGTAATGGTGCTAAAAATGATGATATTCTTAATTAATTTAATCAATTAATATAAATAGCTGTGAGATCATTATGTAGAAAGAAATAAAATGGAATTTGCATTTCAAAAGGCACAAAATCTTGCTTTCAAATCTTAAGTCTTAAAATTGCATTTATATATAGAGAGGATATTAAATAATTTTGGCTGCTAATAAAAATTATAGATAATCATTAAATTAAAAAAAAAATAGAGCCCATATTTGCATTTTCCATTTTTAAATCTTATCCCATCGGCTTTATACAAGAATTTAAAATCCCTATTAATGTTATATACATTTATGATCAGATAAAAACTGAATATTAAACATATGTAAATAATTATATATGTATTTCTATCTATATGTTTATTAAATTTTTAAATGTTTTGAACAAATTTTATGAAATATATATATATATCTATTTTTGTAGCCTATAAAACTATAATTTTGTTTTATTAAAATTATTTCAAATATTAAAATATATAATAAAAACTTTTAGGTATGTTCAACCCATACTCTTTGGTTCGATAAACCGTACTATATTAATAATATGGAATGTGAACATTAAATATAATTCTGAGATTCAATAAACGAAGTTTTGGTTTTTTAACAATTCACAAAACAAATTCCAAAGTCAAATGGACTAATTTGTGGACTAATAAAATGGAATGAAGATTTTTTTTATAATTTCGGTTTTTTGGATTTATAATACGTATATATACTTATAAAATATGAATATAGATTACTTACATTATGATTATATAAATACAATTTTCGTAGATATTTATTTCTTCAAATTTATGGCTATATTTTATAATTTCTACATGATAAGATTATAATGTATAACCTTTTTAAAATTTTGCATGTTACACATACACAAAAATGTACTTAAATTTTTGATAGTGTCCTATTAAAAGTGTAGACATGATGGAAATACAAAGTATAGGCTATAGCTTTTACCTTTGTTTATTAATTTCCAATTGAAACCGCAGCACTCTATTTAAAGGAATGCTCCCGACTATTAGTTTGTGGTGTGGAACTTCATGAATACTTTATAATTTTTTGAAAATATTGTAGATATTGGAATTCTTTTTGTCAACATAATAACTTTCTAATATAAAAGTTATAAATTATACATTTATTATTATTTTAAAATTCACAATCTATGTAGGTCTAAATTTTTCGTAGATAACAATGTATACATATATGTCGAATTTACATAAACTTAAGTTCATTTTTAAAAATTTATTGTAAAAAAAAAATTTAAATGAAGGTTAACCCAGCAACTCTCAACAAAATTTTTTAACCACAAAATTAAAATTTTTAGTACGCGACAAAAATCACAAAATTTAATTACTAAGAATGTTCCAAAATTTTAAATTTAATATATCAAATATTCTCGATGGGCTACATTTTCATTTACATAACTACATTATTGTACCTATGCATATATTCAGATTTCTGGTTTATACAAGACCCTTAAGAGAACCGTTATACACGACCACGAGTCTTATACTATTCTATTATTCTATTCTATTATCTAAAATTTATTAATCACCAAAATTTTTTAAAAATGTGTTAGCAGTGAAATAAAATTTAATTTTTTAAGTAAAATCCAAGCTCCAGTCAGTAATTATAAATTATACATATGTATAACATTAGTTGCGCTTTATTTTAACTGTTAAAGTTTAATGTGTATAACACTTTTAAATATATCGCCCTGCATTAAATTGTATGGTTATGAAAGTTATGTAGAATTTAAGCATATTTATTCAAATAGATGGCGGTATTCTATTTATAAAATGCTTCCAACTATATTGGGCAGATATTTTTAACTGTTATACATCTTTTAATAGAACACAAGTATTAAACGGATAAATTATTAATTTATTTAAGAGTAAATAGAGTTAAAATTTTAATTTATTATTATAATAATTTCCTCTTCAAATTTAAGAAATATCAGAGAGAACACGCCATAGAGTCTATACTTCTGTTAATTTTCAATAAAGTTGTACTAAACTTGAAATGAAATTCATAATATTTTCATAATTATTTATAAAAGAACACAATATTATTACAAATGTATGTGTATATAATTACGTATTTGGAAATTATTACAATTTTTTAAGGGATATATACAAAACCGATATACCATAAAAATTATAGTTTTAGATATGAATCAATATACGCTTATATATCAACATATACTACATACATACATATTATATAAGCGTGTATAATATGTTTTCACTTTTTATTTTTAAGTACTTACACTAGATTATCTAGACTTTATCAAGACAATTACATTGTATAATATTTTGTTGATATTATCGGTACTGAGCGAAAAATTCACAATTATTTATTTATTTTTTGCTTTCTTAACCCTATAATGTAATTGATTTAGTTAGCAAATTAAGAAAACAAAAATTTGCTAAGTTTTCAAAATGTAAGTATGAAACATTTTTAAGGACCACCAATGCAATTCACTATCATTATATGTATACATTTACAGATTGTATATAACAATTTATCAGAAATCAAATTAATTACTGTAGGTTAAAAATATTCTGTTCATTTTGATATTAATCAATTGGTTTTATTTTAGAAAAAATTATAACAGAATGAAATTTTGTTTACATAATAAAATTGTGAATGAAAATATTGTTTGCATAACATTGCATGCACTAGTATAACTCTTTTAGTAACGGTGTACATATATATATATATATATAATACATATGTCCAATATATTTATGTATATACATATATGTACACGGAATGCATTATATCGGAATAATGTGTTTTCAGAAATAAAGCGAGATCATTTCAAATATGTACAACGATCGCATAATAACAATTTCAGTATAATAAATGTAAAATTTTTTATCAGATAAATTTAATAATTACAATTAAAAATTTGTTACACTTGTTAATAAATATTGAATTATTTGACTAAAATTAAAAAAAATTACTCAAACTTATTGGATAAATTTTTTATTTTATTATAACAATTTTAAGATAAATGTAGAATGTGAGTTAAATAAAGTGAATTTTATTTTAATATTTTAAAATTAAAATTAAAAAATATTAAAAATTTGAAATTAATTTTAAAAATTTCTTGTGTATATTTGTGAAAAATAAATGAATTTTTCAAATAAATGAATGAAAATTAAAATGAATTGCTATGAGTGAATTTTAAGTGAAATTTGAATATATAAGAATGAATTAAAATGAATTCTTTCATTTTTGCATATTGTAGTCGCGACTTATGCCGCTAGATTAATTCTATAATTGTAATGAAGTGATATTTTCTCATTAAACACAATGGAAGAAAAATATTATTGATTAAATCTAAATGTTATACAATATAAAATAAAGTGAAATTTAAAAATTCTTTAATCAAATTAAAAAATATTTGAATATAAAATTTAAATTTTCAAATTAATTCATATAAGGGTACCAACTGCGTTTTAAATTACAAACATGTATGTATATGTATAATCCATAACTGTTATACAAAACATGCATAACTGTTATACAAAATAGTCTAATATTTATTTTTTAAAAATTTTCTAATCTAATATAGTACTGGTATAGGAAAATTATAATAAATATAGAGAAATTAAAATAGTACTCAAGTGGTTTAGAATTCTCACTTCATAAATCATCAGAATTATAAAGGATTAAAGCAGAGTTAAGCAATTTTAAAAAAAAAAATATTAAAGCAAAGTGTGGTACAATATTAAACACTTATTTAGAAAATTTCTGTTTGGAATGTGAAATATAAAAGATGGTCAAAAAAAAAGAGAGAATATTTGCTTGGAAGGCATATGGTTAGGCATTAAATGAGAAAATATTTGTCTCTTTAGATTTTCCACTACTCATTAAAATTAACTTATATACTGCATATAAACTTTATGTTATCTATTATAATATAAATAATATTGCTCAATTTATATTCATGATAACATGAAACCTTCGATACTGATCATTTTGCACAAATTTTATATAAAACACCTTAATGGCGTGGAAGATCGCGTGCATATTTGCAATATAAATTAAAAAAATATATATATACATATATGTATATAAACACTTGTTGAGGCAATGTTTATTTTTTAATAATGAAATTGTAAATTTAAAATATTCCATATATGATAAAATCTGACATTATTTTTTTATAATAACAAATAATTGTAAATTTTATTTACAAGTTCAAACAATTTGTTTTTGCAAAGTTTAAATAATAATTCCGTACACGCAACGATGGGGGGGGGGGGTTATTAGTGTATTTAATTTTAAACCGTATTTACTACAAATTTTCAAATATTTTAAGCAGAAATATTGCATTTTTTACAGACAAAATATTGTTGCATATGATTAGGCACAAGTAATTGATTTTCAACACTGTAACCGTAAGCAGAATGTTTTGGTTGGTATTGGCATTGGTAACTATAAAAATTTTTTTAAAAGGACATTCTCAATATATTTGAAATTGAAATTGTGAAATTATGAAATTGCGTACATTATGAAAAATTAATCAATATAAAAGTAATTTATAAAATTATTTTCTATTTTATTTATTGGATGTATTATTACTTTATTATCATTAATTTTACATGCTAACATAATATTATTTTTTATGATATTATGGTTTTATGTTAAATATTACAATATATTGAGTTGAGTCGAAATTTTACCAAAAAAACAAATTCGATAAGATAAGAAATATTTTAATTTTTGTAAAGTGTTTGTTCTCAAGTAAAATAATTGAGTGAGTACCTATATTTATTTTCAATTGGAAGGTTTTTTCATTATCATGTTAACTATACACAATTACCATAATTCATAACTTTAATTCATTATACAAAATTGATAACTTTTATTTATAAATAAACAAATAATTTCACTTATAAAATGCCTTTGTAATTAAGGAGAGTACAATATGTTCTTAGAGAATGTATACAGGATGAAATTTAGTTTGGAGAAATTCCGACAGAAATATTGAAGGTGCTTATTAATGAAAATTAATTTTTTGAATTGAGGGGCTCAGAATCAAAGTAGCCTAACACTCACTCACTTACAAATTTTAATGTAAATTTAAATTAATTTTATATTCGGCAATTAAAATTATGTTATTGAATTAATTTATTTTTTTGTATTCTATATGAGTTATTCGATATAAAGCTTTGTACTCTATATTTTATTCAGCAATTAAAATTGCATTTGAATAAACGTTCATTGTCAATTTTACTATATTCAACAGTAAAGTATATGCTGCTGAATAAAATAAATTCACCATAATTATTTTACACTTCAGACCCATATCGAATATTTTCGTGACAATATGTAGATCTCGCACAATTATGTAAGTATATAAATATACAATATATGTATGTTTACATACACCTAGATTTATTTATATTTATTTTATGTTATCGAATATCTATTAAATGTATTAATATTTGTTAAGATAACACGTACATTGATACAATATTCAAAATATGAAAAACTAATAAAAATTATAGAAAAAAAAAAAACATTTAAATACGTAGATAGAAAAATCTTATCAAACATGTGTAACACCTGTAAATAGATTCATCGTTTACTGTTCCAAAATTGGTGTAATAAGGTACATATGCGTATATATATATATATATGTATGTGTGTAAAAAAATTTTGTGAAACATTAATTTAGGTTTTGATTATATTTGAGATCATGTTGCCAGCATAAATTGTTCAAATTCAATTAAGAAGCGAAACATATCTACTAAACATTGGCACCGTATGTATTGTGAATTTACACTGATAATTTTAAAATTTCATTAAATGTAAGCTATAATTACAGATAAGATGTAATAGGTAAAATATGGTATGAATTATTTAATTCAATATTTAAATAAAAAAAATGTTATCTTATTGAGATATTATGGAAACGTGCACCTTTATGTGCATAAATAATAAAATAGTTTATGTATGATTAAAATTATTGTGTATTCAAAAGAAAATTTTGAAATTAAATTTGTAATTTCGTTTATAATGCACAGATGTATTGAATATTGATCATAACATTGAAAAATAATTAGTCAAATCAATTATTATAGATAATTTCAATTTATTTATACAATTAGAAAAATTTTATTTAGATTGTCACCATTAACACGGTTTCTGATACAAGCACAATTCAGTTTATATGAATTGTAATATTGTTCTAATATGAATCAATACAGTTTTACTTCAATTTTGAAGTCAATGCTTAGCTCAACAATATATCCCGGCATATTTTCTATTTTAAACATTTAAACTAGAAAAATATAGCCATGATCGTGATCCGAATGCTGTACAAATAATATGAATACAAGACTAAAGTCAGTTACAGGCATTTGATACAATTGGAAACAGCCACAAACTGCGGGGTTCTTTGAATATAACATTCTGGATGATCTTTAATATTATATAATATAATTTTCATTAATAGCTAATTTTTAGATAGAAATAAAATTGTCACATTCGTCATTATAATAAATATACATGTGTATGTATATCTTCGTATCTGAAGTACCTACCCAGATATATTTTAAAATCATTATATTTATAGCCCGTCCGTTGTCCCATATGTATTATATTTAATTGATATGATTACACATTTTACTATATTTTAAATAGAAAATTTGATTTTTGATTATTTTTTTTTGTACTATAGATATTTTATTCATGTATGTATATTTGATATCAAGGAAATAAAAAAAAAAAAAACAAAATTTTAATTAATAAACAGTTTGAATCTATTGGAACACCAAAAAAAAACCTGTAAGATTAAACTATATATTTATTATGATGACGATAAATATTATTAATAGTAAAAATATTTGTAAAGTATAATAGATAATCATTATCAAGTAAAAAAATAGTATTAATTTTTACCATAATAAAAAATTAAATAGTTACCGGCAATATTTTGAACGAATTGTTCGGATAACATTTACGCGATACGCGGAAAATAGACCTAAGCGATTCTATCATTTAAATATATATTCCATATTCAACACAAAGGCTATTTCTATCAGTTATTACCTCATTTATAATCAGTGTACAATTACTACGCCTATAGATAATATTATATAGGTATTAATCAATTATTACTAATATTTTTATAAGTTTTTTTGAATATATTTCAATTGTTAAGTCAAATCAAATGTTTAAAATAAAAAATAGCATCAGATTTTAATACAAAATTATAATTTTCACGTTAAATCTAGTTGTTGTCTATAGTGTGTAACATTTACAATACAGAGTTGCAATTTAACATGACGTTGCAACAAAATAAAATTAATTTTAATGTATAATTATTTTGAAATTTTATTTAAATTGTATAAAATCTGCATAAAATTTGGATATAGGAAGATAATAAGTGATAATCAAGTATTTGAATTTTGTTATTAGTATAACAAAAATATTATTTAAGGTCCTTAATTTTAAACATTCATATTTGTTCTATAAATTATTTATATGTATATGGCATTCAACAAATAAACTCGGTCACAATATTTCGTAAAAATCCAAAAATATTTTAATTTATAAAATAATTATCTATTTTTTTTCTATTAAATATGATTATTATTAAATACTTAATTTAATAATGACGACGATATTATGATTTTCATAATAAAATCACAAACTGATTAGATTAATGTGGCGGCGTCACCGAAATTTATTAAAATTTTGATTTATTGATAGCACGAATTAAAGATATATATATTTTTTTTAATATTTTTAAAAAATTATTTTTATCAACTCTATGCATAATCTAATTTATCAAAATAATAATAAATTACAGAAAAAAATGGATACAATATCAACAGATTCAAAACAGATTATTATAAAATATCGTAATAATAATTATGATATAACCGAATTTATACATAAGCATCCAGGTGGTATTAATACACTTAAAGGAATAACAGCAAATACAGATATAACTAAGAGATTTTTAAATGCACCACCACATTCTGATGCTGCCATGTACCTTATGAACGAATATAAAATTAATATGGAAAATAAAATGAAAAATGGTTATAAAAATGGAACTAAAAATTGTATAAAAGAAAATAATATGAGCATAAATGATATACCAAATAATATAAGTAATGGTCATGTACATAATAATAATCACAATAATGATATAATATTAGATGAAAGTATGGAGGTAAGAGTTAATAAAATTTATAACAAAATTATTCATATACATATTAATATAATACAATTTATTAATACAATAATTAAATAATAGTTTCACAAATAATTTTTAATTTTATTTTTTTTTCCTAATTGACTCAATTACAAAATAATTTTATATATTTATTAATATCTATCTATTATAATCATATAGTTAATATTCTTGGACGGAATGTATTAGTTGCAAATTTTAATATTAAAATTTTTGTCTCTAAGCGTCCGCTGTTTGTGGACACTTTATATATATTTTTGATTTTTGATAAAATCGTATTTTATTTTCCAAATCTACAAGATCTCTTTCAATTTCATTTTTTCTATTTTTAACTCTTAGTGTTACACTTGTCATTGGCAATCGATTCAGTTCATTTACCAAATATTGAAATCCTTAAAAAAAAAATCAATCAGTATGAAACTTAAATTTTTATTAATTCTATTTTACCTTTTTGTAAAACTTCAAGATTTTCTAATCTAGTTTTTTCATCTAAAAGTGTATAACCTTCCGGGCAATCTGGATCCCGTTCCATTTCTTTAATTCTCTGTAACTCTTTTTCACGTTTTTCTTTTTCCAGATATTTTGGTAACTTAAGATCGCTACGACCTTCAATAAATGCTATAAAATAAATAAACTATTTACTTTCTTAAAAACGGTTTAATTACCGGTATTAGTGCTCGACATAATTGAACGAGCACTTTTCTTTTTCCCAATAGCAGAACTTTTTACAGAAATTTCATCATCTAATTTCAGTTGATTAAATTTTTCATTCCAATTTGCTGAATTTGGTACCTCGTGATACGGTTTCGTATAATCAACTTTGTCTTTGCAAAGAAAAGGATTAGATGCAGATTCAAGCCTTTGATCACGACCGTTCTAAATTAAAATTTTTTAAATAGGAAGTTATTATGTTAACCATAAATTTGACATTTTTGTACCATCATTCTCTGAAAACTTCGTCCCGAATCGATTTCAATTCCATCTAATTCAATATGTTTTTCTGGATCAATTAAATTTTCTTCCACATTTATATCCCTGAAATTAAAAACACAATCAGAATAATTTTTATATTACATTTCTAAATAAAATTAAAATAACAAACTTTAATTCGTCACTATCAACATCATTTTGGTCATTGTTTTCTATTGATATTGGAAATTCTTTTGGACTAAAATAAAAATGGGTTAGAAATAACCGGCATTTAAAAATTAATACAATCAAACCTTTCTTTAGGTTTAAAATTTATATCTTCTGGATAGTAATCTGTTTGAACTTCCTTATCAATTGAAGTAGTTGACTTAGCGCTTGTTGGAGGTGATTTCAATTTCGAACCACAAGTACATTCAGTATGAATTTTTGTAGAACGTGAATGATTAGATTTTGATCTTCTTACGGAATTCACATTACTCATATTACTCATAGGAGTAGAGTTAGATGTTCTGGTTGTACTTCTTGTAAGTCGTTCATGTATTTTGTGTCTTCGTTTTTCTGTTTCTTCTTGCTGCTCGATTTCTTTTTGTTTCCGGGTTTTTATATCCTTCTGTAAATCTCTAATTTTAATTTTATTCTCGAGCAAAAAATTTCGCTTATATTCTCTTCCTGTAAGTAAGAAAGCTTAAATTCTTTTACTTTTTTCTATTATTAATTTTAAATTTTTACTTATTTCTGGGAAAATATCCTTTAAAGTAGTTATTTTTCTGTGCGCTGACATTGCGGGATTTAGTAAATTTTTTATAAGTAATGTTTCAATATTATCAAAAAAATATTTAATTCTGAAAAAATTTCATTTTAAAAACATAAACAAAAAGTTTGTTTAAAAAAAATCGCACAAAAATAGGATTAAAAATGAAAAGAAAAAAATCCTGTTTGTTTGTTTACAAATTTCGTTGTTCTTTTCGTCGAATTCACAATAGAAAATAAATTTTTAAAAATTTGTACTATTCACAATTATTTAATTTTTAACGAAAGATTTTTTTTTTTTGGTTTTGGTCCAATCTTAATAACATATTTTTGATATTTTTCAGCACCTAGTTGATTGGTCAAAGCCTATGTTGAGACAAATAGTTAATATAGCGGAATGTTATGATGAATGGGTTCACAAACCAGTTGATAGACCATTACGACTTTTTGGGCCATGGTATTTAGAAATGTTGACCAAAACTCCTTGGTGGCTGGTTCCATCATTTTGGGTTCCAAGTATTATATATATTCTTTATTCAGAAATTTCAACTAAACGGAACACTTCGTTAAATGTAAGCGTATCTAATTGTCTTTGGTTTTTGAAATTTTAAAATAACAACCAGCTTTTTTTTATATTTTAGAACAGCACAGTTTTATTTTATTGTATAACAGGTGTATTTCTATGGACTTTAATTGAATATGTTTTACATCGCTGGGTCTTCCATATAAAGGTTTCACCAGGAAATAAAAAATTATGTATATTTCACTTTTTATTACATGGATTACACCATAAGGTTAGCGAGCATTTATTGAAATTTTTTTTTATTTCAATAACGGTGTAACATGAATTATTGCTTATTTTAACTATATTTATAGGTTCCATTCGATCCATATCGTTTAGTTTTTCCGCCCATTCCTGCTGTCATTTTGGCATCAATTTTGTATCTTCCAGTTATTGCAATATTTCCATTTCCAAGAATAGTGTTAAGTGGAGGCTTATTTGGATATTTATGTTATGATATGATGCATTATTACTTGCATTACGGTAATCCAAAATTTTTTCACATGTATCAGATGAAGAGATACCATTATCAGCATCATTTTGCACATCAAGATATTGGGTTTGGTATTACAAGTCCAATATGGGATATTGTTTTTAGAACTAGAATATACTTAAGGCGATTAAAATTTATGATAAAATGGTGAATTTAATATAAAGATGTCTTATTTATAATCATGTACAAATAATATTTTATACTTTGTAAATTAAACGTGAAAATCGAAGCCATTAATTTTATTTTAGACTACTGAAGCAAAATTATTTCTATGAAAATCAGTTTAATTTTTCAATAAGTGGAAAATAACGTAGCTTGTGTATGAAAGAGTAATGCTTTCGTCAACAAACTTGAAGTGCCCTTTAGTTAAAGATATATGTTTGTGGCCGAGCGTAACCAAAAAAATTTTTTTAATTTCCAAAAGCAATTTAGAGTTGTTGCAAACAATTTTTGTTTACCGTAGACTACCGGCTCATATCGTTAAAGCCAATAAGAACTTCGATTTTTTGTCCAACACATAAACTTTCTAAACGCTCTTTTTTAACGAAATAAGCTGCAATTGTCATTTTAAAATTTTGACAATTGACGTGTTTATTTTATGAATTTATTAAATTACAGCAAAGTTAAAATTTGTAAACAAAACTATTTTAATTAATTTCAGTAACAAAATTAATAGCAATGTATTAGAAAATTTTGCAATATTATAAAAATGTTGACGTCTAAAGTGGGAAAAGTAGGGAAAGTTGCAATATGTGGAATGAAAGGTGTAGGAAAAACTGCACTTTTAGAGCAATTAATTTATGGTAATGTATCACCAGAATCTCAAATCCATTCAACGATTGAAGATACATATGTGGCTTGTATTGATACAGGTCGTGGGCCCAGAGAAACTTTAAGAATTTATGATACTGCAGGTATAAACATATTAATTTTAAAATATTAGTTAATACAAGAAAAAAAAATTTAATTTAGGTTTGCAAGGAAAAGTGCAACTTCCTAGACATTACTTGTACTTTCCTGATGGATATATATTAGTTTATGATCCAAGTGATCGTTCAAGTTTAGATATGTTGGCCGATATTAAAATGGATATTGATAAGAATAAAGAAAAAAAGGAAGTTACTATTATAGTATTAGCAAATATGCATTCCAAATCGTCCAGAAAAAGTGACCCACAATCACCATCACATACTACAGAAAAAGATCACATTGATTCAGTATTAAGTCGAGCTAACGATTGGTGTTCTAGAGAACGTATTAAGCATTATACAGTAAACGCAATGGAAAGGGCTAGTTTATATGAACCATTCATTAAATTGGCAATACGACTTCATCCACCACAAACGAAAAGCGCTTTTCCTCAATTGAGACAAGTAATGCAGAAATCTCAAAAAAGTGATGCATAAAACTCTACTTGCTTATATATGTTATGTAAAATTTTTATAACAAAACTTTATTTTTTTATTAGAATTATAGATCTGTTTACCAATCTGTTTATCAATATTAAATATCTACAAGCCTTTGAAATAAATAAACACATAAATCGTTTTTAATGTGCAAATAAAAGACCGGAATCTTAATACATGTTTAATAAAAAAAGTATGATATAATTTGGTTTATTCGACCAAGTTTCCAAGTTAAGTTTCCATTTACATTTTTCATAGGTTGTTCCACGTTTCTAATTTATTATTCTTAAGTTTAAAGTATGTGGTAATACTACTTTAAATTTTATCATGCGTTGAAGCATTCACACTCCGATGGATACATCTTTAATATACAAAAATTAAAATTAAACCAGCATACCCTCACAAGACATAAATTAAAAAACAACTCAGTTAAATGTTATACAAAAAACCCAAACCAATTTTGATATAAAATAAGCATGATTTAAAAATGATTGAGTTTTTTTTGACAACGTCAAAGTGTATAGATATTGAAAGTAACACACGCTAAATAAATTATAAGGTCAAATGACAGTTCGAGATTTGGTTTTTAGGGTCATTTTTGTTACCTTTAATGTATCTCAATGTCAAAAACGTGCTTTGAAATTGTTTACAAATTTTAATGTAGTTCTGGATCAGAAAAATAAAATTATAATCATATAAAAAATAAAATGGAAATTGAAAGTGAAATTAACCACAATGAAAAAAATCCACGCAATAAGTTCAGGAAAAATAATAAAAATAATAAATTTTTAAGAAATGCAAAAGGTTTCGGTAAACGAGGCAGTTGTGGGCGAGGTACAAATATCCCCGACGATGTGTATCAATATCTAATAAATATCTTAGATGCTATGAAAAATGGCTTTGAGTCTTTAGAAGAGAAATGTTAGTAAATTTGTAATATTTTCTAGAAAAAATTTTATAGTAACATATTTTTAGGTTCCATGGCTGATAATGTTTTTGATAATTGTGTGGATCACGAAGTTCATTTGGCTTCCAATCAAGTTGGATCGAAGGCACTGGAATTTCTAATAGGTTTCGTGTCAGAAAATCACCTTACCAATTTCATGCAAAAATTTTCGGAAAATTTTCGTCCTATATGTTCAGATTCATTTGCATCGCATGTTTTGCAAAAGATGGTTGAAATTGCTTTTCTTCGGTCAAAAGCATACAAAAATATGGATGAGGAAGATAAAATAAATAATGCAGAGGAACCAATCACAAAGAAAATCAAGGTTAATGACTGTGAAGATGAAACATATAATACAAAAACAAAATTTAGTAAAAACCATCGCAAGGAATGTTCCGAGTTTGTTTTAAAAGTTGGTAAATTTTTATTAAATAATTTGGAGGATTTTATTTGGGACACCCATGCATCTCATATTATGCGTACATGTATTCTATGTTTGTCAGGTATCTATTCGAAAAAAGAGGCATTTGACCAAAATAATATTAGTAACATATTGAGTAATGCAAATTATTATCAAGTTCCTTCCGAATGGATCGAAATTGCAAAAGAGTTTTCACAACGAATAGAGTTGTGGCCTCAATTTTCTGAACTTCCATATTCTGACTTAACATCAGGTTTCCTTTCAATACTCTGTTTAGCGCTAAAGCAAATTGATAAAAATTTTTTGAAACATTTTGGCAGAAAAATTTTGATTGAAGCATTTATTAAAATAGAGGAAAATGATGAGAAAAAAGAAATAAAAGATGGTATTGATAATGAAAATGAAAGTGCAAATAAAGCTCAAGACGAATTAAATATGGCGAAAGTATTCTACTCATCGTCGTCAATTAGATTGCTAGAAACACTTATTATTTTATCAGGGCCAAAACTATTTACCCAACTTTATGCAATGCTATTTCCAGGGAAGATATTACCGCTTTCATTAGACAGAACAACAAATTTTGCTGTACAAAAAATCATAGAAAATGTTAAAGAGAAAACAGATTTTGAGTCCATATTTGAAGAACTGAAGGATAGTTTTGAAGACATCTTAAAAATAGGCCATACAGGGGTTGTTTCTGCTCTATCAAGTACTTGTCTGCGTTTACAAACAAAACAAGGAGCATTCATTAAAGCAATACAAACTGCTTTGCATACAATTGATTCTAAGGAAAAGTCTGACCAAATTTTTAAATGTTTACTTAAATTAAAACCATATGAAATTGCTATACAAGATAAAACACAGTTTGTTCATCTTCATGGTTCACTTATAGTGCAAAATATTTTAAGATTCAATAAACCAATATTTTTAGTCAATTCGATTTTAAATTTTAGTTCTATTGAATTAGTTGCGATTTTAAACACTCAAAAAGGATCTTTTATTGCTGATGTATTCTTAGAGAGCAAATTTATTGGTGAGAAATCAAGAGAAAAGTTTATCAGACATATGGAAGGAACGTATATTGATCTAGCAATTACGAAATCAGGATCCAGAGTAATTGAGAAATTTATCGAATCTTCCAATGAGAGTCAAAAAACAAGAATTGTTAAGGAATTATCTGAAAAAGAAAATCAATTAAATGGAACATTCTTTGGAAGATTAATATTTAAGAAATTCCGAATTAGCACTTATAAATTAAGTCCGGCTGAATGGAAAACCTCTTTTAATAAGACGAAAAAAGCAGAAAAATTATTCAAAGATATTTTAGAAAAATAAAAATATATTTATAGAAATAATACGCTTTTTAATAAATTTGAGAATTAAGTGCGAATGAAAATAAAATTATAATATCAGATTAAATTAAAATTAATTTTTGAAAATCAAGAAAAATCAACGTCATATCTACTTTGAGCAATCATTTTTAAAATGTTAAGTAGTTTAATAAAATGTTTTTCAATACCTAGGCAAATTTGTGGGTATGATTTTTTAAAAAAATTTGTATATATGTATGTAAATTCTTGGTATGAGAATAGATTAGATTTACTACAAGTTTATTTTTCTTAATATTTTTAATACAGGTTTTTTAATCGAACTGAAAATTAACTTTTTAATTTAATTACGTCTAACTTATAATACGTTTACATTTAAATAGATACAGTTTTTCAGTTGTTAATGGCCAAAAAAATACACAAATGTTAAACTTCAATTAGCCATATTATTTTTTAATAAGAAGTTGATGACTTTTACAAAATATTTTATGAAAAAATCACAACTTCATTAATCAATTACATCGCTTATTTATTCGTTTTAAAACAAGTTTTTAAATTTTTGGGATATCAAAATAAGTTATTCACTTATCTACACTTTTATTTTCTAAAGTTGTATCGCTTTTTATAAGGAACATTTAATAAATCCCATTTCGTTTTTCTGAGTTTGAAAAAAAAAATTAAGACTTTTGATAAATAAACTCAAAATATTTAGTGACTCTGTTATTAATGAATTAAAAATAATATTTTCCTTTCCTTTTCAAAAAGAATTGCACAATTAAAATTGATTATTTTTCCTTATGAAGAGTTAATGGAATTAAGTTCCCTTTCACAATTTTTAAAAGCTGCACCAATACCAAAGCCAGTACCTAAAATTTTTGATTATAAAATTTTCTTGTAAACCTCATTGTTTTATTTTTAGTTATGATTTTACCCATTATGATTGGCCATGATCTTCTACGAAATAAAAGTAAAGATAAGGTTGCTCCTATTAGAAGACCACCACTTCCTTTTACTATGGCATCCGTGAAACACCGGTCAATTCTTTTACCATATTCTTCTTCTGAAAATGTTTTACTAGGCATTTTGAAAAAACTATTTTAAATTTTTTTTTTATTTCCGAGAGCCAATAGACTTTTGATTACATAAATCAAATGTAAAAAAAAACTGATGGCAATTGATGACATTTCTTCTAATTAATTAACAGGGATGTCTAGAGGAAATTTTAATGTTATTATAATATAGCGACATCTATATTGTAAAATATGAATCACAAAATAGAAATCAAAGGCAAATTTTAATTTATGACAGCACATTGACATCATTTTATTTTGAACAAAAATATTTCTTTGAGTTACTTTCAAAATAAAACTTAACATTATTTCAATGTCACACAATAAAAATGACTTATTAAACTTATAGGATCGTTATAAATATCTTGAATATTTTAATTAATGCCGGGCTCAAATTTTTACTTCGAAATATTTTAAATTTCAAATGGAATTCTTTTACAAACATTTTTATTGTTATAAATTAATGACTGACGTTGCATTCGATCATAATAACAATAAATGGACATTTCACGTGCTGCAATTTTAGTATGCCTTAGCGGGAATATGGAATTTTCGATACGTACATGTCAAACCGTGTCTATTTATGCTCTCTTTTACTGAAACCGCCTTTATAGCACTCGCTAAAGTAGTGCTACAAACTGTCTATATATGAGATTTAGGGTTAAATTAGCATGCATAATACATATATACATGCATAATACATATATAACATTAAAAATATAATTTTCAACCTTTATTTCATAAAGATATTGCAGTTTTGCTGTCTTTCAAAGGATTTAAAACAAAAGTATAATATTGATTGGCAAATTGAAAACTTAAAATTAACAAAATAAGCCTCAGGTTTTATCATAACATTATTAATTTCAATTTCACACCTTCACACCTTGATTTAGTAGTATCAGTAATAATTATTCGCAATTTTATATTCAAAAAATTTACTTTTTTCCTTTTTATTTCTTCCTTTTTTATTTTATTTAAATACCTTTTAACGATTTTGTTATTTATGAGATATAACAAAGCGTAAAATATTAAAAAATAAACATAAAGAATTGAATAAATCAAGAAAAAGTCTAAATATTTAATATAGCCGACATATAAATTTTAAGATATTTAAAAAGAGGTAAAATACTTTTATTAAAAATAATATGTATTTGAGATCAGGTGTTTTCGATGATGATATTTCAAACCATCATAGGTAGGTATATATATATAGCTGTGCCCAGTCCTATAAAAAATTTATTTAAAATGCAGAATTAAAAAAAATTTTTTTTACTAATTTTTAAATATCGATTGCCTTTGCAATAAATATGTGTATGTACCTACATACATAATTTCGAAAAATAATATTTCGATTTCGACTTCAAAAATACAACATAATATTTTTCTTACTATCAATAACATTAATATTTTTGACACGTTACAGGAGATCTGCATAAAAGAAACGAACTCTATTGTCAAGAAGACGATTTTAAATACATACAATTAATTAAGAAATATTTTATTATTCAAAATCCGGATAAATACAAGAAAGAAAATAACGTTGAACCTTGTATTTGCGCTATTATGTGTGTGATCGTTAGGGGGCGCCTTAAAATTAGTTCATTTTTAAAATTTTCCTAGCTTTTTAGGAATACGCTAAATATATTTGTATTATAACAATTTTGCAATTATTTTTTCAAAGATATTAGTGATATTTCGTAGGTATTATTGAATTCGAAATTTCAATTTTGGAAATTGCAACTTGCAAATGTGTTTGCGTTAATTGAAAAAAATTAAAACGAAAAACGAAGGCATACAATTTTAACATTCTTATTGGATAGCATTACGCACTCCACACATAAAATGTAATATTAAAAAATACAAAAGTATAAAAAATAAAATCAATTTAAATTCAATAAAATGACAAGCATTTACCAATTTTTTTTTAAAGATATGTTAAAATGTATGTGTAAATGTTATATGAGTAAAAAAGTTTTATATTAAAAATGAAGTGAAAAAAATTTGAATATCTTGGGGGCAATTATATTTTATCTTTTTAGTTTTGCATAAACACTCTACATATATCAGCTACTATTTTTAATACAACCTTTTTTGAATTTCAGATTTGCTTTTCTATATAAGGATATTTTATATTGCATGGCAGATACAAAAAACAACACGTAAATTTCAAATTACAAAGTAATAAAATATAAGAATAAGGATAAAAAATAAATAAGAAAATTCAGGTGAGAAATATCACGAGAAATGAATTATCAATAAGGTTTTTAATAAAAACTATCGTTTTATATTTAAATTGTGAAGGAATAACTAATTAAGTTTCACTTAGGTTAAAACTGTAGTTGGAAAAGTCAATTACATAAGCAAGCAGCTATATAAGCAAGCAATCACGGCAAAATATTGCATGATTAAGGTTTGACAATATTTGTTCTTGGTCTATCTCGATTAGTAATAATGTATTGATATACATATTTGAAAATTACCAATGTTTCCTACTTATAATTGCAATTAAAAAACTAAATACATTTTATTTTTTTTTTTTAAATTGGTGAATATCATTGAACAAGAAATATATAGAGTGTTAAAAGTGAAAAGGGTGTTAATATTCAATTAGACTTTGAATTATTAATGCATTTTGCAATAAATAATTTCTTTAATAAGAAAGTATAATATTTGCCTTTAAAGAAATAAAAATTTAAGGTATAAATTGATTTTCATATTATATACAATATATAAACACACACACAATTATTATATTTTATACATATATATATACATAAATTTATAACAGAAAATATACATATATGAACATGTTATCTGCTTTTCTATATTATTTTATTATGTTTTTCTTGTAAAGAATGGATTATCAAAGTATTGCCATACTTTAGATTTTTTTTTATCTAATTTATAACGAACACAACGTTGTTCTGGTAACGTTGTATCACCAATTTCTGTAATTGTAACATATTTTGAACATTGTATAATTGGATAATCTTCTGTAAAGCAATTTGAACGTAAACCAAAATATAGTCTACCAAGATATGTTGAAACTGTGCTATCAATAGTTTGTAAACAATTTAAAAATTTTTGCTCACAATTACAAGATAACCTACAATTAAGAATATTTTTTAATATGCATTTTTACTTTATATTTTTTATATATTTTAGAAATTATATTTTAATATTGCCTTGGGAATAAATCACCATTATATAAGCCATGTAAAGTTTTATGATGTTCAATTATATCTGGGCAATGATCATGATCACGACAACATTTATCAACTTCTTTTTGACTTCCTAAATCATCATAATTTTTTGCTGTATTACCAGGACCACACCATTTTGTTCCAGGCATTGTTAAACCAGAACTTGTATTTGCTGGTGGTGGAAGGGCTTGGTTATAAATATCTTCTTCTTCAAATATAGCATCATCTGAAAAACAATTGATCATTCCAATTAGCGAAAGTATAATTAGAAAATGAAAATTAATTTCTTTCATTTTCAATAAAAATTTTCGGTTCTATTTTATTATAAAATGTTCACTATATTGAAATTAAATTAAAACTGAATTAGCCTAAATCAAAATGAAAAGAACAGAAAAAAAATTTAAATTATTTATGTAATTATTATTTTATAAGAGCTTTTGATTAACATTGAAAACAATTATATAAAGAATAATATGGTATATATTGTATATGTATAATATTCATGTTTTTCAAGATTGAAAATATCAATTAAAAATAATCAAAATCTTTTAAAAGACTTCTACAGCACATTTTTTTTTGTTACTCGTACTATTCGAGCTGATAAATTATTTTTTTTTCTAATATTATTAAGAGAATTTGAGGCTCTAAATTATGTAATTAATATAATTATACAGCGTCATTAAAAAAGATCGACCCTCCCAAAAACAAAACTTATATAGAAAGGCGTAGTGGTCTTATGCAAAGAATTTACAAAAATTTATATGATACCGACGAATATCATAAATGAACGTAAATGTATACCATAATTTCCAAAAGCAGCCTAAGGCTGCATTTGCAACCAGAAAACATTTTCCGATTACAGTCAAAATTTCTTACACCGTCCTGTAGAAATTTAAAAATGTTTTGATAAGAGTATTTTATAATTTTGTTTATAATTTTGCTCATGCTTTATCTGGCTTTTTTTTGTACTCATTTTTACAAAGCTCTTTTATATCATTTATGGCGTATACTTATTGACGGTTTATGTACTTACTATAATGTATACTTTGATTATTTTCTAATATTATAATTAGAAAATATTATTAGCTTACAATTAATGAAATAATATTGTACATGTATTAATGTTGATGAAGTGACTGACTTCAAAATTAAAATAATAAAGTATGTTTAAAGCCAGGTCATGGTAATTATTAAATGAACTTATGCACCATTAGGATATTAGGCTAAAAATTACATTTATGCTCAAATATTTTTGCAATCAATATTAAAAATCCCAGAGTTGAACAGAACATTTCTTTTTTGGATTTTTTTTTCTAAATTTCTATGATTTCATATACATACACATATATACGCACATACATATTTTTAATATTATGTATAATAATATCAAAAATCATAATATCATAAAATCTAATTCGTGATAATATTTCATTATGCAATGAACATCTTGAAAATTGAATCGAAAATATGCACTAAAAAAAAGACTTTATGTATGTATGTAAGTAGAAGAATGCATAGAGCGCTAACATTTTATTGCATATTGAGTGTAAACGAGTGTCAATTGTCTTGGAGGTCCATTTATGTACAATGTACATATTTATATATGTAGAGACAAAAATATGTATATATATACAGTAAAATACGTTTAAGTGGACATGAATCGGGGTAAGGCCCTTTTCTCAACTAAAGTGTGTTGCTCACTTAAAGAAATTTTATATTTAAAAATTTCTCGTAAAGTTTAAAAGTAGTGATTTATTTCATGCGGCAACAGGTTGTCAAAATTTATTTGGATTGAAGCCTCCTTAAATTTCCGCACTCGGGTTTGGTTACTTCCTTCGGACGCCGGGCGGTGATTGAAATTAAAAAACATGTCACGTTAACTTTGTTTCAGTACCTGCAAGTACATTTTAAGTTATGACATTCATATAAGCAAATGAAAATAAGGATGACGTGTTAAGTTTTATTTCAAATTGCACATAAATCAAACTTTTTGCATGAAAAATTTTAAAAATTTGCAGCTAAGAGCTGAAAAGAACAGCTATTTTGTGCATTTAAAAATCGGATGCATTTAAGCAAATGCCATTTAATTGTATTTTACTGTGTACTTAATGTATAAAATATGCAAAATTTGTTTGTAAAAATAAGAGATTAATACTTAAATAAATTTCTTATTTTCCATCAGATACAAAATACGAAAATAAACAAGATTTAGATTTAACAAATATAAATCTGTAAACAAATTAAAACTCCTAACAATATAAATTTACTCATAATGTTGTGAATGTACAAACATATGTACATACTCATACACATTTAATAACAATCTGAAGTTAGCAAAAATTTTCGTTTGGCTTCTTATAATATAAGAAGGTACTTTATGATATGAAAATAATCCTTATAAATTTTTGCAACGAGAATTTCGAGTTAGTGGTATGGTGGGTATTATATTGCATACAGTTTGGAAGTTCAAAAATGACCAGTTAACATTTTTTTCTTGTCTATATTTTGCAAATTTTTTAATTTTCTTTATTTTTTTTTTAATTTTTGAATTAGGTATTTGAAATTTATTCTGGAAGCAACATAACACCATATGTTCAATATCATAAAACTAAAAGAAAAAAAAAAAGGAAAAATTAAAGAATATTGATGCTCATGGTATGTAAGTATAAGTAGACACGTACGGTGTATATGCAGTGATATAAGTAGATATTAAGTTCAAGTTTCTTTTATAATACTCTTTTCACATTCAGAAAATTAGGGATGTTACACATTAAAATATTTCACTATTTTTTCTAAAACTACAACTTATTAAAATTACATCAATTAAATGTACAGCACCAGCACATCAACAGGTTGTCACACGAAATTCAAAATTGTCAAGGACTCACTCACACATTATCACATAGATTGCAGTATTGTTGTGTATCGAATGCTGTATTTAACATTCGCCCATTGAGGGAAGTGGACAATTAAAAGAAGAGGAATTTAACCAAACTAACTACATATTTATATTCGATAAGGGAATGACTATAAAGTAAATCGATTTTCAAACATTTTTCTTATATGAAATCACGAAAAACAAGGGAAGGCACGTTTAAAGTTTTGCAAAAGATTTTTTCAAATATCTTCAAAAAATATTTTTGTTACATATAGCTCATTATTATATATTGGCGGACTCTGTGAGTTCCTGATGATCACAGCGAACACTTAGTATTGCTCATCCCTTTTAATTTAGCCGCGGTTGTGAATTTTTCAAGTTTTTGAATATTTTAAAATTTAGATCGGTTTCGTTGTGGCAATAAATCTCATTTTTAAATCATTATTGTTATCTCTGCTCTACATAGTTTAGTAGCCTGTATATAGAAAATTTTTGGTTGCACTGCAGTTTATCCTGGGTCTTTCTTTCCTTTTTAATTTTTCTTTTGCTTCCGAACCTTTTCACATGGTCTTAATGTTCAGTGATGATGGTTGTTTTCACAACAGAATTTCTTAAAAAAAAAAAATTTTCGTGCTTCGTCGTCTTTTATTACCACATGGTGAGTAAGTGATAAATTCTACAACCTTACTGATAACATCAAAAATATTCTTTTTTTTTATAATTTGTATTTTATTCATATTTATTTTTATTATAATTTTTATTTTATATTCATTCGTATTTTCCAGATCCAAAAATATTAAGAATTTTAAGAAAGAATAAAGTCTAAAATATTTGTTAGACATGCTGACCAAGAAGTTAAAAAGAAACTTTAGAGTTTATAGGATGTTTTGATATGGAAATGATTGCATATATAAGAACAAGTAAGCATTTAGATGAACAAGTGGTGGGGTATATTGTAAAAAGATGTAGGAAGATCAGGAAATGATAATAACATGATTAATAAAATCAAAAATTACATGAAACAAGATCAAAATTAGTAGATGTTTTTAAGTTTTTACCTATAGGTGTCGTTTTATAACAGTTTTTTGTTCATATTTTTGCAACAATTATTTTTTCTAAAAATATTCTTTTAACATAATTAAATTTTGTAGGTACATACATATATTATTAAGTAAAATGAATTAAAATTAATAAAAATTCTTAATAATTGAGTACTTTAAAATTTTAATTCTATATTCTAAACATAATTTTTTAATATCTCAAAAATTATTTCAGAAACAAAAAAAACACAAAAAAAAGCAGTGAAAAAAAACTAATAAACTTTAATAATAAAAATCTATTTTAGTGTTTTTGTTTTTGACAGTGACTGCGCTGGCACATATCAATATACGCACGTTTTATACTTTATTTTAAAATTAAAATTAACAAAAAAAAAATATCAATTTAATATCCATGAATATATGAAAAATATAAAATTATCTAAATATGGTTGAAAATTCATAAATATTAATAATTTTTATTTTCTATTTCATTTAAAAATTAAGTTATTTAGAAAGACATAAATTAGTAAAAAATAATAAAAAAAAAATTTTTTTTATATTTCATAATTTATTACGAATAATTTTTGATGAATTCTTTGATTAATTATTATACAAAATTTTTTTTATTATATTAATAATTTTTACACATAAAACTATATACTTATGAATTTCATTTTAAAATTTATAAGTGCGCGTATAATTTTAATAATAAAATATTAATCTTTATTTTTTTTTGTCATCTAGGGGAGCTGAGGCATATATGTCAGTCAACTTTTCTCTTAAACTAAATATCAGACATACAATTGTGCAGTTACCAGACATTCGATTCTGCAGTTTTTTAGAGAAATCAAAACCTCTCTTTTAGATTGTAATTTGGGAGTACTGCTTGAACGCTTATCGAGAGCACAAGAGCGTTTTTCATTTTTTCCGTATAACTTCAATGTAAGTATGCTTTATATTTACCTATATTCAAGAAAAAAAATTCAAGAATCAAATGTTGTGTTTTTTCTCTGCCTGTGGTGCACATTATAGTCTTTAATAAATAGGGCAGTTTCGCCAGTCACTTTCGTACTGAGTTTCAAATTCAAATGTGATTTTTGATTTACTCTGCTTTTTTTTAATATTTGTAATTTTTTTTTACATTTGCATTGTGTTGTCTTCATTAATGTATACGGATAAATATTTCAGGAAAGTGCTTCAGCTCTTTTTTGTCATTTTCCAAAAGTTAAAGTCAAAGGAAAACCATAGATAAATTATAACTTTTTTTTAAATTGAAACATGGAATTCAAAGAAGTTCCATACAAAAGTGTTTATAGTAGTTTAGCCAATGC